CCCCAGCCAGCCTTGCTGGCTGGAGAATTCTGGGAGTTGAAGTCCACCCATCTGAAAGTTGCCAGTTGAGAAACCCTGCACTAAAACTCTCTACTTCAGAGAAACAAACAGAGCTTTCCATTTTGTGACTGTCATCCCTCATTGAAGACTTTGTAACAGAGTCAGCAGATTTTTATCAAAGACCAGAACAAAAATGGCATCCACAAGGATGCTCGTCTAGAGCTTACACCGCCCTCAGGCCCATCCAGCTGAAATCACCTATCTGTCCTGATACCTTGAAATGCAGACAGTGCACCACCTTATTTTATTTGACCTAATTTTATTTTTACCTTACTGTACTCTTAAATTTAATTAAAATAGGTCTTACACTTATTACATCTGTGCCATTAGATCTAAGCACAGACCAAATCAAAGTAAAAGCTGCTTTTTAAGGAACAATAACAACCTTAGTCAGAAATGTTGCCAGTGGCCCCAAAGGATTAAAAAAATTAAGTGTTTAGCTGCCATACAAAATAAGCAAAACTCCAAAAGTATCTGTATTTACATGCCATTTTTTTCAAACAGCCAAATGTAGCCGAAATCATTTTGGAAGGAAACATTGTTGATCAGATTTTATTTTTTACTGGAATTCTTATAAAAGACAGGACAATTCAACAGTATACATCTCTTACACCCTGTTTACATTTGAAGAAAAATAAAAGCGCAGAAAACTTGACCAGGGCCAAAATGTTCCTCAGGCAGATAGTTGTATGTATATGATCATGGGTTTATGTCGCACACGCTCATTTTCTAGGATTAGTCACCTAATTAGATGCAGCTTCACAACTGCATTTTAACATCTGCGGAAAGCCTTTGGGAGAGGTCACCCATCCGTCTGGAGGGAATTTATCATCAAAATGTTGATAATATCTGGCTGTTCATCTCCAGCCCAGGCTGAGCAGGAGATGGGCAGAAGTTCCTAACCAGTGCCTGCCTGGAGGGCTGTGAAGATCTGGATGGGATGGAACAGGCTCAAACTGAATCCCAGAATGACAGCACTACAGTTTGGTTTCAGAGTAGTTCTGCTTTAATTCTGCATGGGGTGGCACTCCCCCAGAGGAGGAAATGTGTGTTCTTGGAGTCCTCCTGAACTCATGGCTCCTGCTAGAGCAGCAGATGGAGGTCATGCCCAGGACAAGTTTGACTAGTTGCAGTTGTTTTGCTGGTTGAGGCCTTTTCTGGATCAAGAATGACTCATATTTTTGTCGTATCCCAGTTAGACTACTACAATTTCCTCTAACTGGGACTGCCCTTGAAGACAAGACTCAAGCTGGCACAGAATGCAGCTGCCCGCCTGCTAACTGGGGTTAAACAATACAGCAGAGTGGTCACGTATCTTGTGGGGGCTGCACTGGTTGCCAGTGGACTTCTGGGCCTAATTCAAAGTGTTAGTTATGGCTTGAGCGTTAGCAAACTTCAGCAGCATCTCTGCCAGATGGAATCGGCCCACCCAATTGTGCAAGCCAAGAGGGCATGCTTCAGGTGCCAATACCCTGGAAGGAAAGGCAGCGAGGACCCAGACAATAACCTTCTTGGTGGCAACCCCTTCACTTTGGAACAGCTTACCCCTGAGGTCAGGATGGCCCCTACCTTTTAGGAAAGCATTTAAGACCATGTTCTTTTGCAGAGCATTTAACGGAAGGTTGTGGGCTTGGCAAGCTACTTCGACTGATGTTCAGTTTCAGAATTATAAGCTGCCTAGAATCAATTTGGTAAGCAGCATATAAATAAACTATCCCAACTATTCGAGACAATGCATTTTCAGAGATAATGTGTTCTGCCCCACCTCAGTGCCCTCCTTCAACTCCAAAAACACAAACTTTCAGGAACAAAGTTGGTTACCTTGCACGGCTACCTGACTTAGTGTCCATTCGTGAATTCTGACAGAGTAAGACCTTTGTCCTGCCAAAATCATCTGAAAAGGCAGGAAGAGCAAGGAGAATTTTGGACCCAAGTTCCAGAAAACTAGGTTCAAAAGCTTGCTCAATCAAAAAGCTCCCTATTTCTCATCCACTTCTCCTTTCTGGGTAAACACCAAACAATACCCTTGTGCAAACACTATGTTATGCACTGGACAGTTGTGACCATGGCAACATAGGTTACTTAAGCAAAAAGACACTTCAAACCGTGCTTCCCACACCCAACTTCATCCAGCCCTAAAACTCCACAAGAATATAAAGGCAGAGCTTCCTTCAACTTAATCCCAATTCCTAGTAACTTCAGAGACACAGTTGTGCAGCTATTGTGGCAGCAACACACAAGTGGTATGCCACTGTCTTCAACTAGGATTTCTTTTCCCAACTTTCTTGGGCTTCAGTGGTGATTTTCTATTGGAGTACTAACCTAATCCTGCATAGATTTTGAGATAAGGCTTTCTAGGTGCTACCACTATACCTGTTGCAACAAGGAATACTATATCACTAGATTTCTGGTAAGTTGTTTTCCCTTTTCTGTACTTTCTAGTCTAGCATACAATTCTAGTATTTCTTTAGGTCTCTTAGTACTTAGTACTAACTTTCCTGAGTCTTTTTGAGATCAGCCAGTTTCCTCCTCACCAAGCTCATCCTCTTGCTCTGGCTGATGAAAATTATATCAGTAGAGTGGATGGGATGTTACGATTCATAACACTGTGTACCTTCTCCTTTAATTTCTACCATATTGGAAAACACAATACTACTCTGAAGCCACTGAAATTCCAAAGGAGGACAAGCAACTTTCTCACAAGTTCTCAGAGTACCTTATTAACTTTGCATGTTTTAGCAGAGGAATGATTCAGTCAGTTTGTGCATTTAGACAAAGATTTCAAAAGAAATAAAATTGGATTTCAGATAACAGGTATGTTATAACAGCCCATTAATACTGAACAAGGAAACACTGATCTATCCTATTCATAAAAGCTTTCCAGTCAGCTACAGGTATTTTATCAGTCAATTCTAAGTTTAATCAAGTAAAGGAAACAATGAAAATCCAAAAGTTTTGCACACTGATTGTCCAAATCACCAAGGATCATAATAAAGTCTAGCTCCAAAGTCCTATTCGGGGTCACATTCTAGCCAGCAGGGGCAAAAAGCTGAAGGGGGAAAAGGGGGGGGGGATTTTCCATTAAAAAGAGATTTCCAATCCCTTTCAAGCAAGGGACTGTGGGAGACGGGAACAAATTCCCAGAGAGTTCTCACATATTACTACTTTATGTACAAAATTAATCATTTTGGTGAGAGAGGTTTATGTTTACCTTGAAGACCGAAGCTTGCTGTTGAGCTCGCCATATAGTTTGGTGCATTAAATAAACTTTAGGCCCGTCTTTAACTGAGTTCTAGGGCAACGTTTTGCACCCATGTGAAAGTGGGAAACGGAAGCCCACCAATTTCAGCTTGGTTGCTGTTCAGTTCATCCAAGCACAGAACTACCATATCGCTCTTTGGGGCTCTAGGCTCCCCAGCACACTGCCCTGCATGGGATCTCTTGGGGCAAATTCTCACTTGGAAGGACCCTCCCCCAAAACTCATTATGAAACTTATGGAGCAACGGGGAAACCTTCGAAGCCATTCCATCAACCTGCCACTCTTTTTCTCAGAGAAAACAACCCTAATTCCAGCCCTTCTACAGCCATTAATGCTGCAAAGCAGCCCACCAGGGATCATGCTTCATCGTGGACTACACGGCCCATCATCTTTGCCAGAGCATTACTGGCCAATGGCAGAACCTCGGGGGGCAGTGAATTCCATCCTCCCCAAAGCCCATCCCTACAACGCAACCAGAACCATAAGAAAAGTACTGGGTTACATCTCCCATCCTCCCCAGCCAGCAAAGCCAGCTACGCAGCTGGCTGAAGAGGACAGGAACTGAATGCCACACCGCTGGAGGGCCATTGGGTGGAATGGCTCTGCAACCTGCGGAAGATGGAAGTTGTAGTCCAGAAGGCGACCAAGCTGGGGAAAGCTGTTCCATCCCCCGGAATCACCGCCGGCGATAAGGCTACAACTCCACACGCGCCGCCTCGCGAGTAAGCCCCCTCGAGTGCCTTCTAAAAAACCACGGAAGCGCTCTGTACATGTTCAGAAGTTACCTAAGTAATGGTTGCTAATGCCACTACTGCCACGCGCCGCTCTCCCCTCTGGCCCAGCCCGCCGCGCTCCCCACGTCAACCGCCTCCCCCCGCGCTCAGCCGCCCCGAGAAAAGGATACGGTCCCGGCTCCAGTAGGCAGCTCCTTCCGGCTTCAGCCCCGCGGCCACATCCGCCATCTTGAAACAAC